CACCGTGGAGCCTGCGGGGCCGCAGGACAATGACGCGCTGGACCGTGAGCACGCCCCTTGCAGTTCATCCGCGCGCCTCTAGGGGTAATGGGCGGGGTAGAAGGGTGGGGTTGGGGGTGGGAGTGCTGGGTCCTGTCCATCATCTCTGAAAAGGTCCTGAGGTCACCCCCATTCATAGGACACTCTTCACTGAGTTCCTAACATGCGCCAGGCACCCGGTCAGGTGTGAAATCCAAGGAAGGGTAAACTCAGGACCCTAACATTTAAGGAGAAATTCTGAAGGTCAAGAATAACCGAGAAAACTATTGTAAAAGAACAAAGTGGGCCCTAACCGGTTTGGCTCAGTGGATAGAGCATCGGCTTGTGGACTGAAAGGTCCCAGGTTCAATTCTAGTCAAGGGCATGTACCTTGGTTGCTGGCACATCCCCAGTAGGGAGTGTGCAGGAGGCAGCTGATGGATGTTTCTCTCTCATGGATGTTTCACACTCTCTATTTCTCTCCCTTCTTCTCTGTAAAAAATCAAATATATATATATTTAAAAAGAACAAAGTGGGAGCATGAAAATAGGCGCTGGAACAGAATGGAGAGTCTAAACACAAAACTATACGTGTGCAGCTTATTGATTTCGGAGCAAGGGGACGGGACTTTTTTCCTCAGTGAGTGAGTGGTACAGGGTCAGCTGTATATCCACATAGAAAAAGGAATTGTGAGCCTCTAAGTCAGATCACATGCAACTATGCATCCCAAGCTAATTGCAGATCTGCGTGTGAAAGGCAATGTGAAACGGCTAGAAACTAGGTTAGGAGTCCATCCTCAGGACCTGGGGTCACTAAGCCGTAAAGGATACGCTCATATGCTCGCAGTGAGCATGAAAAGTCAAGTGCAAGCATGTTTCTAGCAATGTCATGTGTACTAGCTCCAAACTAGAAACAACTTAAGTGCCCATCAATGGATAAATATATTGTGGAGTATTCAGAGTGATATAAACAAATTATAGAGTATTCATATAGCAATAAAATGAACTATTTATTATCTGCAACACCATGGATCAACCTCACAAACATTGTGTTGAATGAAAGAAGCCAGACCTTCCCTCCCACCCACACCCTCCCCCAAATACTGGATCATTCCATATATACAGCACTTTAGAATATGTAAGAATAGGGAAAG